TGGAGTCCCTCTGTCTGAAATCGCTTTTGGTATCAACGGCTCGGAGAGGTCTTTCGCAATTCTGATGAAGCTAGTGGCGTTGCGTAGCGGATATCAATATGAAAATCAATAAAGAGATGGTGTGTGTTGATCTTTTTCTCGCAAGTGTTTGCCCAAGATTTAAAGAATGACAAATACCAGGTCTATGTTGGCTTTACCAAGTCTTAAGCCACAAGGATACGGTCCAACCAGTGCGTTGACGGTGGGCTTGGGTGACCCAATTATGCGACATTTACGAGGCTAATCCGGTAGTTTTCCTTGTGAATTGGAGAGAGCACATTTAAATTCCGAATAGTTCATCTGGCAGGCCGACGGCTGAAACAGCTTTGTTGTTTCCCTTCTTTTTATAACATTGAATAGTGCGGTAAAACGTTCTGGATATCGGGCACTAGCTTGGTTGTTCTTGCGCACTGGTCTTGAAAGCTTCCGTAAGTCACTTAACTTTCTGATAAAATTTCAGGGCGGTATTCCAGTCGGCCAGCTTTTAAGGCTCTTGACACTCACGTATTTCGGTCTCTCACTTTCAGTTACGGAAAATTCGTCTAGGTTGTCTCTTCAGCTGCAGCGCTGCGACTTCGCTCGTGTTACCAGCTGAAATCCAACTACTTACTTTTTCGCAGGCAGTATGTAGAGAGCGTATGTGATCCCACTGCTCGCATATGTCAGTTGCTTGAAGGGTGCTCTTCAAGTATAAGAATCGAGTGGCGGATTAATTGCCCGTCTGTTGTGACTGCAGATTTTCGACGTTGAGCTTTCGTTGTACTCCTCTGGACGTGCTTTCCGTCTATTATAACGGCGTCGATTTGATTTCTCGTCTCTCGATCTGGAGATAGCTATCCTTTGGCTTTTCTATTGGAACCCAGCGTTGCAGACTACCATATTTCGCTCCCCGCCGTAGTAGGCCGTTTCGTCGTGGAGGCAGAATTTTCCAGCAGTTCGACCAAAAATCCTTTTCTTGCCCATCCTGGCATGAAATCGCCAAGCAAGATTTTTATATCGGGATAGGGCAGCGCTAGTAGACGCGCTCCCAACCCTTATAAACAGTTGAACACTTCATCGTTCTCTTCCGTCGTGGTGTGAGCGCAAATAAGCAAAATGTTGAAGAATCTCATTTTGATGCGGATTGTGGCAAGATGCTCAAGCGATGCGATGAACTTCAATACAATGCGAGGAAGCCTCTTTACAGCGCTGCTTTATAGGGCAGCTGTAGTATAAGTCGCAAGGTCTTATGCTTGCGTATCTCCGTCCATCGCATTTCCTGGATGGCGGGGATGTCAGTCTTGGGCTTTGCGCGGACATCAACCAACCGGGCAGACGTACTTTCTCTTTTAAAGCTCAGGTGCATGCCCTCAATTTGTAGTCCTTTCAACTTCTTTAGGGGACTTCGTCAAAGGAATAGGACATTCCTTTATATTAGTTTGAGAGTCCCAAATCTAGCGATACTTAGCTTTGCTTGGAGTCGGAGAGTTCCTCAATCGTTGCTGTCAAGCCAAAACAACGCCTGACCAAGTAAGCGTGTTGTTTCGATGGTGTCGGATAAGAGGGGGAGAGGTGCAAGTTGAATTGGGTTGAGTAGGCATGTGAAGGGGTGGTTGGTGTCGTATTCAACCCACTACAGTATTCAGACCTTAACTGTGCCAGAATGACGCATCCGCCAGGCAACTGAAGATCGTCGTCTGCAATTGGTGGAGATTTTACTACGATTACGACATTCACAGGACGAGAATTGATAACAGTTTCCCGGTAAATGCCGTATACGTAGTTTTTGACCTCGCCCTGTAGTTCGTAGACAGGACTTCAGACGTGCTTTGGTGAATATTCCGCCTCAAGCAAGTGCCGGTTCGGGTGCTCACGTCTGTACCAAACTACACGGAATCTATTGTGGAGCATGATGCTGTGCTGGCTCACAGTGAGCATCTGGGCATCCCGTAGCTGTCCGCATTGCTGTACTAGTTTATATAGCGAACCGCTTGACTTCGATGGAACCATAAACCGAGAGCGTTAGACTTTCAAATCTCCCTCTGTTTTTTTAGCTGTGAACCAAGCCTCCACACGGATGGGTTACCGCATCCCGTTCATGCGTTTCTCCGGTGATCAGGGTGCGCGAACGTAAACACAAAAAAATGGGGGATTGCTGCTGTGGTGATGGTCCTTGGTCGGAGTGATTGCTCCGAGTCAATCCGGTAGCGTAGCACCGACCATCTTGGGCCCCCCATGTGGGCTAGGTCCCCATGACACCCAGCACGTCTTCACATGCACCTCCAACCCTACGACCCTGACACCAGAAGCGGTCTGGTCCGCGCCTATCGAGGCTGCCCGCTTTCTCGGCATCAGGCTTACAGAGTCCGAGAATGAAGACGACGATACATGACAGAACCTGTGGGGTTGAGCACTGCTGCTACAACAAAACCAAAAACAACAACGTCAAGTGTGAGGATTGAGTTTGGTTGTGCAACTGTGGCTACAAAGACCATAAGCGATGGCATAGTTTCAGACTTCAATAAAAAAAAATTTCGCTCAAGAGAGTTTTTTGTTTGATTTGGTGATTAATAGACTGCGGATATTTATGCAGAAAACGAAGCTTAAAAATATTTATTACATACCTATAAACAAAATGTGTACAAATTTGTACATTTTACTTATAGTTAAGTGGTGCATATATTGAGGCTTCGTTTTCTGCATAAACATCCGCAGTCTAGTGATGATGTCTTGATGTCTGTGGTTATGAGGTTGGCGTCCGCGCAATGGAGGTGATCGTGCCAATTTTATTAAAAAAATTACTGTCCGAGTCGGATCAAGAGATGCTAATTTGTTGTCGGACACCCGACAACCCTAACGCTTTTGTCACTGTGGACCGACCCTATTGAGGCTGCACGCTTCTTAGGGATTCCGTTAGTGGAGCTTGACGACAACGACTGAGATATTAACCGATCTGGGCGGGGTTGTTGTAGCCGCTACAAAAACAACAACAACAACATGCTAATTTGTTCAGAAAATTATACCTAAGACTTGGGTTAGGAAAAAATGTCGGCGCAAAGGGAGTGGCCAGTGTATGTATGTACATAGGTGTCGGTTAGAAGAGGTTACACTGTTATTAATTCAAATTTTTTGGATAATATCCGGTTAGACAGTTAATTTTTCACTTCGTAAACAATCTTTAAATAACTATAAATTATGCATTCCGTATTCCAATGAAAGATTAAGATTTATTGATTATTAATTCTATTGAAATTGACATTTTTCCGTTTTTTTTAGCGAACGGAATACGTAAAATATGCAAAAGTTTTCCCATTGGCCACAATGTTTGGTTTCAAGGTACCATCCAAGTGGTATCGGCGTACAGTTGGCGTACTGGAGATAACCTGTGGACTGGCTATGGCACTCATTCCATATCGTAAGTACTTTAACACAAGCAGGGCTTCTCGAAATCGCTCAGAAATAGTCATAGTAAAAACTTTAAATTTAATGTTAAGTACACCTAAAAAATACGAGTTTTCTATTCGTAGATAAAATAAAAAATGCTGCCAATATAATACTACTATTGTTGATGATTTTGGGCGTCTATCAGCATTGGATGGTTAGCGATCCATTTGAGCGATCTGGACCTGCGCTTGTGTTCACATTCATGCTCGGTGGACGTTTAGTAGTTTGGTATCAGGTATATAAATTAATTAGTACAACTACATACGTACAACAAAAATTAACTCCACAATAAATTATAATTACAGACAAGTCGAAAAGATGCTGAACTGGCCGCTGCCGCTCAATCACAAGCTAATGGCGTGAAGCAGGACTAAAAGAAGAACTTGAAAACATAAAAAATACTTACAAGAAATTTAAAATCAATAAATTTTAATCATACATACATACATATTTAAGATAACAACATAAACCAAAAAGCAATTTCTCGCACATTAATACATAAGACTAGGGTGCAATCTAGCACATAAATGCAATCAGATTCAATTACATACTACATGCATATACATATACATAAAAGGATAAATAACATACACATTATTTATTTATCCTATTGTGTCATAAAAAAACTTCTCACATTTGAAACTTCTTGTTTAAACAACAAAACGGTCTTTATGTTATGTGCCAAATTATTTTCTTTCCTTTTCTATTTTAAACATAATCTTACTGTAAATCCCAAATAAACAGTAGTCCTTGAATGGTGTTCAATGCAAACTTAATGAAAACACACTACATAGATAATTCAACCCATAATTAATGTGTAGGATTTTAATCGAATGCATCCCCCGAATACGAGATGAAAATATTCAAACCCATATTTAAATGTATATTAGTTTTCGCAACATCATTTACGACTAAGTAGAAATTGGATATGGAACTTGTTTTCTTTTATAATACAATCCGCACGCAATTTTAATAAAAAGGTTCAAAACAAGGCTCAGTATTTCTTTGGATATATGAAGAATATTAGGCAAAAGTAAGTATGTGTACGTAGAAAGCCTTAGTGGAATTATTTTCTGGTATATAAAGCACTTGGCGAAGAATAAAAAAAAAATATCGATACAAAAAAAAATACCTTTAAAATATAAACTTGGAAATTTGGTTTTGCTTGCCGAAATTAGTTATTTTATTCTTGCATAATACTTGATAACAATCCATTTTAAAGGCTGAAAGGTCAATAATTAAAAGCTTTGCAACATATTTATTTCCATATACTATGTATACATATATATATTTCTTATTCAATTTAGTATTTAGTTTATTACTTAACATAAACTGCATAATACAGACTAGTATATAACAAAAAAAAAATATTAGTGAGTTTCAATAGCTCCACATCAATATACGCAGAGCATAATTACTTGATTCGCAAAATCAAGAATTTATTCATCTTCGCCGGTAGTTAGGAGTTTTAAAGCTTTCTGAAGATTATCGATAGCTGTTTTCACATCATCAAAGTTGAGAGCTGTGCCAGCGAATTTCGTGTATTTCTGCGCCTTCATTATTTGCTCAGGTGTAAGTTGCAAATCCGCAACTGGCGTTGGAGGTATATATATTCGATTAGGCTGTGCTTGAGGCACATATGGCTCGAAACCACCAGGTTTTTCTTCATCTACAGGAGGACTTGGCAATTTATTCGGGTTATTAAGAACCTCATCTACAGTAGGTGGAGGGCTATGTGGTGGTGAAGGATCTGGAATTGATGTTGGAGCTGTTTCTTCATCAGCTGGTGGATCTTGCGGTATGGCGGTGATATCAGGATCCCCTTCACCATCGCCTGAGGCATTAGCTTCTGTGCCACCACTAGCACCAAATTCACCATCTTCGTCGGCTGCCGGTCCCGGCAATGGAATTTCGCCATTCTTCAGGCAATTGTGAATATAAGCTGCCTTCCATTTGGCATATTTACGGTTGTTTATCGACTCTTCGGAAAGTTCGCCAAACGTTTGGAGCACATCGTAAATAACGCCACTAGAGTAGAAGGCCTTTACAACATTTCTAAAGAATAAGATTCAATTTAATTTTATAACTTTTTAATACATTTATATGCAGAAATCGGGCAAACTTACTTTCCGAAATTCGATTCACGATCTTGCTTATCCGCATATAGAAAGAGTTTCAGGGCGTAATTTTCCAAATGTGCCTGTGCTGCCACTTCATTTGTGATAGCTTCGTTTTCCAACTGCGACTTCTTTGTACCCTCCAACCAGTCCATTATTGCTGCAATCAAAACAAAAAAAAATGAGTCATTTTAACAGTCTTTCCATGCCGCGCACATCCCCGCCTCTATGATCCAACATACCCAATAGTAGTTTGCTTTCATCTGGTTGCTGGCTGGAGATTTTCAGTCCAATTTGGAGCGCATAGAGGCGCGACCAATACGCTACAACAATATCACGAGAATCATGTTCCTGCGCAATCTTGAGGAAATGCTGAATTTGCTTTAAAGTTGGTGGACATGGTGGAAATTCCATTATTATTTTATAAGTTCACAATTTTGCACTGAATACACTGAATTTGACAAAACCAGCGTTCGGATCCCACGGCAATTGCACTACATATACTACACTATTTAATGTTCTACTGCGGATTTCTAATCTATTGCGATTTATTTTATGAATTACATATTTTTGTATATCTCTGTTTAATACAAGACAAAAAACATTTGTTTAGCACCATTTGAGTTATTACAATTTTTTTTCAATATATAAATTTGCCGATGGAAAAGATGTATATTTTTTAAATTAGTAAAATGTGTTTCAGCAACATGACAAGCATGTATTTGTATGTACAATATACTTTAAAATATAACAATTCTTATTAGTATAAAATGTACATATATGCTTGTAAATTAAAAAACGAATTAAACAAAAAACCTAGTATATACGTAAAAATTCATTTTAATTCTGTCGTAATTCTTGCGGCTTACGAATGAACCTCCGAACCCTGGTCACAGGATGAAGTCAGAGTTGTCAAATGTCAGTGGAGCGACATCTGTTAGTGCTTAGTGAAGTTTAAAAAAGTGTTGCCGATAGAAACGCAAATGGTAAAAAGGTGATAGAACGTAGAACAACGGTATATCAGCTATGGCTGGCTCAACCTCAATTGACCCGACTATGTACCGTCCTCAAGATTGTCGGCTCTGCGTAACCGGAACAGCCGAGATTCATATCTGGCCAAGGACTGCCACTTCTGCATCATTCCCCTAAAACTCTTTGGGGGAATTTGTATGTTGTTACAACAAAAACAATGATGTACCGCTTTTCCATCCCACTACCGTCGGCTGAACGTAGCCACAATGACCCAGATCTATGTATATTTGGTCAAGGAATGCGATTCCAGCTAATTCTACAAAAACTCTTTGATGAATTTGTATGCTGTTACAACAATGTAACTACATTCCCTAAATGGCATTCAGAGTATAATCCTCGGGAAATCTTCAGCTGTCACGAGAGACGCGCGTAACTTGGGGGCATAACTAATGTCCCACATTCACCAAAGACATCTTCATTTGTACCCTGATATGCACTCAGGTAACATCCGCCTACCTTTTCTAAATTCAATTCTGACCCCTTCGGAACCACAAGTCTCCGTTAATGGAGCTTGACGGCAATTGATAGACTAGCCGATTTATGCATGGCTTAGTAGTGTCGATACAAAAACTTTGAAGCTCGAAAGAGTTCCATATTGACGAAGATATTATTCAGATATGCCTTTAAATTTTAAATGGAGAAGTGCATCTCATAATTTTACATTTGTTGGTCATATTCTTATATGTATGTACATAAATGTTAGTTCGCATGTGTAAATTAACCTGTGTGAATAAATTACTGTGAGCCCCCTGGGTTTCACCACTGTTAATAAACTTCCCACATGCAGCGGAAACAGAAAATTCCCATGGAATGAGTGCTGTGAAGAATATACCTGTACATACAAATTACAATAATAAATAGAAATCGCATTCAGCGTGGGAATTTTGCTTAGGTTCTATGTAGGAATAAAAATACATAACAGTACTTTTTGTTTTTTAAATTTTATTAATAATTCGAGTGTGACCAAAATATACAAACAACGGTGAAAATATATAGTTTTCGTAAATATGAAGTTGTTTTAAATGATATGTTTTGATTATACATATTTTGGCGCACTTTTAAAGTGGATATATGGACGGATATACATTTTTTCTAACTTAATAAACTTTAAGTATTATGTAAATTTCAAATATTCATACATAAATAATACAAAACTAGTTCAAAATATTTCAATTTCACTAAATAGTTAGAATTGCGGAAATGGTTTCGATACTGATATATATTTGGAATGTTTTTATTTGTAGATTTGTACAATATTTTATTTTTAAGGCACTACTAAACGTGTAGATGTCAAGGTCAAATGCTAAATTATCGTATGTATACGCATTATATTCCATTATTGTGCGATTTCGAAGCTTTTACAACCTGCGTACATATTATGCTGTATTTTTTTTTTTTTACAAAAGGCAAACATATTTGTGCTCATTCAACTATTTTTTTGCCTTAAAACTATGTTCCTATACATACATTTATGTATGCATACTTAGAAATGAATAGGTGGTATGAATAAAAAGCGAAAGTTTATGCAATTTTTGTGGCAGAAGAAAAAAACGTTAAATTGCGTATAATACTTTATTAAGCGCCGTTAGTCTAGCGTTTTAAGGCATATTATTAAGTGGAGTTGTAATACATATCTTGAAAAATATGTTTGAGATTCGTTAAAGTTCTATTTACTTTCATAATATTTGCAGGTTTCGACAATATGCATTTTGTAATTGTGCTCATAATAGCGATAGGGACTCACAAGCTCAGTACAAATGGCTGGTGCGACTGCTTTGCAAGCATAAGAATAGCAGCAAACATGTACTAATATTTTATTTAAATCGATTTTGAAAATGTTCGCGTTTGCTATTTTGATGCTAGCTTTTGCATTTTAACATTGTGTATTAGATATGATTTGATATTTCAATTAAAATTCGTTGTTGGACAAATGCAATGGTTTCTTTTTTCCATAATTCAGTCTTAAGTGACTTTAAAAATGATGTATATATATAAATATGTAAATGCATGTCATAAGTACCAACTGAGTTTCTTAGCCGTCTGTGTACTGAATTAAGTGAAATCACTATTATGTACATAAGTATGTATGTATGTACAATGTATGTGCATTTGTCGTACAAGTATATGCTAGTGATTCAACCTTGTCCAAAATTGCATAAACTTGCAATTTTTCGCGCTTTGATGTTAGTAGCATTAGTTGCACAAATCCTTAAACTTACATACGTAATTATTACTTTATAAAACTTATTAAAACTGATTTTTTCTTTGAAAGGACGGAGTTTGAATGCGTATGAGTGCATCAAAGAATACATTTTTAGAGCCAAGATCACTGCTTAACCTATTTTATATATGATTTGAATCTAAAAATATGTCAACTTAATTCTTTTCTTATCTACGATAGGTTTGAACGCGATTTGCTGTTATAGGCCCGCGCCATTTGTGCACCGCTCTGTCTTTAAATGCAAGTGTTTTCTCTTGCGACTTATTTTATGCTCCAACAATGTGAGCTGCTCCGTCGAGAGATGACGCCACCCCTAGGCTTTGCCCTGCACCAACTCAAAACGTGTCTGTGATTCTTTGAATTGCATGCGTTTTTTCGCTTGAACATTTTGTTCGGTAAGAAAGAGTATTGCCGTAACCAAAGAAAACACCGCTCCAACGCAAGCCAACACGAATGACCAACCGAACCAATTGTTGGCATGCTCCGGCATCCAACCATTACGATTTCCAAAACATGCAAAAACGATGACTGCAATAGATGCAGCCACACCTGTGCCTAACATTATATACCCAATTACCTTTATAAGCGTTACGAAGTACTTTTGATCCGGCCCGGCACAAA